TTCTTAAATTCCTCAAACCCTGTGGTCTTACAAGGTGATACGTTAGTGAGATTCCAAAAAATTAGCATTTTCCACCAGACTTTGCCGAAAGTACTACAAAACATGGCGGCTAGCGAGAAATGATCAAATGGCGCGAAAACGGAATCCTGGAGCTCAGGCCCTTCATGATTCCTCCTTTATTCCGTTTTTCTTTTTTGTTTGCGTTTTGCTTTGTGTTTATGTTTTTGTTTTAAATTGTTATCTTATTTGCGTTTTCTTTTTTTCATTTGTTTGTTTCTATTTTTTCATTTGCGTTTGAACCCTATGGGCCACCATACCATTGTTATCAGATCTTCTGTTGTCTTACCATTGCGAGTTACCGTATCTACAAACAAGATGGATGTGCTTGCAAATAGTGTTCTTCATCAAATTGTCTGGACAATTGCAGACATCAAGATGCACGCGGATTCAACACTCAGGGCACTTAAGCTGGCAGTTTTGCTCTTTACAGGCACTCATCAGCTTTAAAACTTTGTAACTGCTTATTCCGTCTTCCCCAAGAAAATCCCAAGTATTGTCGTCTTCGACCTTAACTGTGGCATTTGGGAGGGTCAAGGTGCATGGATGCCTCTCATGTATCAAGTTAGAGATGTTACCCTCCCCTTAGTCAATCTGATCAGGTGATCAAACGTCTTACCTCTTACATAATATGTTGAGGACATTGTCTAAGCTCTTTTATAGTATCAGGTCAGTCCTGTGCGATAAAGCTTCACAAACAGTACTGCCTCGTGCTATTTGCTTTATTGAGTTACGGTTCAACAATAAATACAAGAGGGAACCTTAAATGTATAAAACGAGCAGTATAAAATTGAAGCATTCAGGATCACAAATCTTGAGCAACTAACCAACTGCAGTCGACTCCCGTTATTGCGGACACCCTCAGGGAGAAAATTTAGTGTCCACAATAGCGAGAGGCCATAATGGTGGGGTACAAGAAAAAAAGGTTGTTTTCTCTTTAAACTTATGAAATGATATGTAAAAGTCCTAGAAGCATTGTAGTTTCGACAATTCTTTACTTCTTTTAACTGTGGACCATATACAATTAATGATAATAAGATTGTAAAAAAATCCAAATATGCTGTATTATCACTTCCAAGCTCCTGCAATGACAATGGATACATAAGAAAGAGCTTAAAAAACCAAACAGTAACGTGAATGGCTAAAATGTTAACTTGCTGTCAAATATGTGTGTTATTGTTCTTGGCAGCTCTTTTATCGCAGAAATGCTGCACAGAAACGTGTCTAGCGTCTTTTAACAGTTAATGAAAGCAGGCAAGTATTGTGTTTATAGTAGTGTTCTAAAAACAGCAATGCAGCAATAGCGTGACAGCAAATGCCACATTTCCCTATTGGACAGGTACAGTATCCTTTCACTGGCAGACTTTTATGAAACATCATGACTGCAGGACGCGTAATCTCCTGTCCAAAGCTTTTGATTATGATCGCTTGCACAAATGTTTTGTCACCAACTCTAAGTCTTTACAGTCTTTATTTTTCTAACAAGAGTACCAGGGTACTGCCCTTTACTACCTTGTTTAGCCAGTGCATATTACTTCTGTGCTGGAATCTTCCTTGGGATGTAATAATCAATGAGCACTTCCAGTAGAGGAGGGTGGAGGAACTTCTAACTCTTTCAAACTCGTGTGAAATACATATTTGTTGTTTCCTCCTTTAGCTGTTTTTCAGAAAAAGTCTGCTCCAATCAACATTTCTATTCCCAGGGCTACTTCAGGCGAGGAACCATCTGCGAGTGGCAGACCATGCAGGTGGGGACAGCTGCAGGTCATCAGAATGGCATTGCAGGTCACATACATGTTAAGATCACCACTTGCACAACATCACACACTGGAAACTGCTCAGATGCTGATCCAAAGGTTTTAACAAGCAAATGTTCAGTTCAAATCTTCTGCAATTGTAGGGCTCCACTTAATCTTCGGGTGATGTAGCTCCTCGGACTCCCCAGGTCTGACTCTCCCTGGCCGGTTGGTTCTTCTTTAAACAGATAAAGCAGCGACCGTTGTTTGGTAGAATTCCCTTTCGCACGCTGACGTCAGCGACAATACTTCAGCTTGCAGTTGAATGCGGACCTTTACGGAAGGTATAAGTTGCGGCATTCTGGGAGGACATCATTGCTGCAGCAGTTGGTGGGACTGGTTTCTTGTTTGCTTGATACGGCTTTTTTTGCATTAACAGGTTCCTGTGACGTTATGCCTATTGCAAGACATTGTTCTCTCGCCTCAAGTTCCCCACAAAATGCTTCCAGTAGTCAGGGAGCAGAGACTGAAAAATGCGAGTTTCGTTCAACCATCGCCACAGAAAAAGTCTGACACTTAATTCTGGTAGAGAAAGACCTCACGTTTAATGCTAGATAGTTCGTAGAGTTGAAATGTGGTATATACGAATTACAGGGTGCAAAACGTCACAGGGCGTCACTTCCGGTACATTTCTCTGGCACCTGTCACAACGCTTTATCTGAGGAGAAAACTACTAGTGAAAACAAAACAACCAAACAAAGAAAACAACTGAAAATGTAATTATGATAAATGGACGCTCCAATGATTGTCACTAGAAGAGATGTTGTGCTTGGCACACACAAGAAAGTATGTCTGATGTAGCGGGCGTGATGTAAATGGATGTTCAAGGCCACACTTGTGTCAACTGACAGAAAATCTGTCATCTTGACCCTTCAGAAATATAACTTCTGATCTTTGGCTTCACATAAAATAATAACAAACGTGAGCTATAAGAAGGACTCCAGTTTACAATGCCCTTTAACTACCTACCAAAGATGCAATTATGCCTCACCCTTTCAAAGAACTCTGAACACAGAGGAAATTAGCGTATGTTTCCGATTATCAACGTGGGCATTTTAAAATTTGTAACTAACCATTTCCATGGTGTCCTTGTCGTAGACAGGCCAGTAAAACCACATCTTGATTTTCCTAAGAGTGTTATCGTGGCCGGCATGTCCAGAAAAAGGAGCAGAGTGGCACTCCTCGAAGACCCTCGCTTTCTCTTCCTCGGTGATAACAAGTCGTCTCTGCCATCCTTCTCCTTGGCCAAGTAGAACAAGGACTCTAATTTTGAGTCATACTCAAACTTTTTGGCAAATTTTCGCAGAGTTATTTTGTCTTGCTTTGTAAAGCCTTCTTGAGAAACCTTTTTAAGATACTGGAAAAGATTTCCGAATTTTTTCGGAGGGGATGACCTACACGATTTGGGCGTCCCGGGAGGGTACTGGGAGATGCCCAAAATGCTGCAGTAATATGAGAAGAGGATGCCCTAAACGCTAGGGATTTGGGAATGGGGATGCCCAAAATGCGGCGTTGCCCAAAACGCTGTCACAGAGGCACATACATCTTGATCCGATGGTATCAACTCGATCCCCCCCGCTTAACCTGCACCTTGTTCGACCATAGTGATGACAAGGGTTTCTCCCCACCCCTGACCACCCTTCTTTCCCGAAACCCCAATTGTTCTCAACCCATTTCTGGGTTTGGAACCCTCTTCGAAAGGGGTCCCCCCCATTGGGTCTTGGAACCCTCCTGAATATCGGCCCTTCCCCTTTAGCATATCAGGCGATTGAGAAATTGCCCCGTACGAGGAATGGAGTCCACACCATGTGTTTCAATCTCAAACAAGTTTTAATCACATTGCCTTATCAATGACATCAGTGGTGGCCCAAATGGCCCAAATAGGAAGAAAACTAAGCGGCGCTGAGTCAGTTCTGGAAAAAATACTGCATACGCCTAACAAGGAAAGCGGAATGGTGAAAAGGTACACGCTACTTTCTATTTCCCTTCGTCAACTGGCGGAGGACCTCGTCCTGGTCGGATATCAGCTTTGCTAGTGCGTGGTGTGGCTTGTCTTTGTTCTTCTTCTTTTTCTTGTGTTTCTTCTTTGATGTGGTCTCTGCGTCCTCAGGCTCTGGTAGTTTCTCGTTGTCGTTGGTCGTGTTGGTGGACGTTGGTGGCGGGTTAGGTGATGGCGATCGCCGCCTTTTTTTCTTATTCTTTTTCTTTGGCGGAGTCGTCTGCGTTATGAAAATCTCCGCCTCGTCATCGTCGTCGTCCTCGACGTTTAGGACCTCTCTCCTATTCTTTGTTAGGGAGGGGCCGTTGAGTGGCCTTTTGTTCTTCTTGGCAGTCCTGATGGAGGTTACATTGTCTTGCGACCACTCGTCGTCGTCCTGTACAGGGCTGGGGAGAGATCGTGTTTTCTTCCTGGGCCTCGCCAGCAGTTGGCCGTCTTCGTCATCTGTGTGCGGTAGGGCAGTTATGCTACTGACTTCGAAAGACGTTCGACGTCTCCTTGAAGTGGAACCTCTCTCTGTCGAGGTGGAGGGCAGAGGCACACGTCTTCTTGATGTTGATGGTCCAGCAGATGATTCACCACTTCTTGGATTTGGATGCGCCAGGGTTCTTCGAGATCTGCTGGGGCGCTGCTGCTGTGTCGTCGTCCTCCTCCTCTTGCAAGTATGCCGCAGAATCCCAATCGTTCGTTGTTCGTTTGACCGTGCGCCGCCTCATGAGTATCTGGTCGATGAGATACTTCATCATATTCTTAAATGTCGGATCAGCCTGGAACTTTTCGGCGGTTGGAGCTCGGACGCTGCGCTTGGCGAAGACGTCAGGATTATGCATGAGACAATTAATCACCAAGACGTGAATTGACATCATCAGCACCGGGCCAACGGCGTTGAAGGCATCTGTGAAAAGATCCTCCACCCAAGAATCGAAATTGATTGCTTTCAGGATCTTGAGCACATCGTTTGCATCGGGGGGATCTGTGTCCAGTTTATCTTTATTGTCGACACGTCTCAGGGGGTCGGAGATCGTCGACAAACTCTTCCGTAAACACCGTTCCGCGATAGGCCATGATGTTGCTCCAGTTTTCTTTCAGCGTACTGGCCATTTCAGAAATCGCAATGTTAGGCCTTGACAGCCATTCACAGTTCCAGTCAAAGAGGCGACAGAGGATCTTGTCGTCGCTGAGGTTCGACAGCGCTACCCCGTAGTTTAACATGAAACTACGGGGGAAGTGCTTGTTATAATTGGGCTTTGGTGTGGCCCCGTTGTTACCAGGAGAATGAGACATGCCTGTAAAATGAAGAATCGTTAGTTGTGGAAGTTGTGTCTTTGCAACACAGAGACTTAGAGAGGGTCATCCTAAAAGGCTTGGAGCGTCAATTTGGGGGACGTCACTCTGGAAGGGGGGTATGGGTAACCGGAAAGAGAATACATGGACAAATGGTTTTTGTGTAGTGCTTTGGCTTCACCCATGGGACCCTGTTAGAGCAATACGCCCTTTTGGGGATGAAGATGGGTTACTGAGGACTCTCACCATGACGAGGTAGTACTACGAGAGATTCGAAAGATGTGAATACATGAATTGTGTAGAAGAGACAGCAAGGGAGGTTCACAGGTGGCTCTCTTACATCCCTCCCCAAGGGTTGGTTACCTCAGCTCGTGTTCTCCGCCACAAGAGCGAACCTGTGGTACCTAGTGTTGTTGTTGTGTGTTGTTAGAAAGGATATAGACCATTGGACTAGCAAAGGAAGGAGGATGGTGATTGACGACTTGCGAAGAACTGAAATAGGAAAGAAGAGGAGAGTTGAAGAGAAGAGAGACTATTATGAGCGATTGGTCAATATGGAACCCCGTTTGAGGGATAGGCCCTGTTGGACATGAAGACGAGTTACTCGGGACTGTCACTTCGAGGAGGTAGCACTACGAGGGAGTGGAAAGATATGAATACATGAGTGGTGTCGAACAGACAGTAAGAGAGGTCCACAGGTGGCTCTCTTACGGCATTCCCCAAGGGTTGGTTACCTCAGCTCGTGTTCTCCGACACACGAGCGAATTTGTGGTACCTAGTGTTGTTGTTGTCTGTTTCTTAGAAAGGATAAGGACCATTGGACTAGCAAAGGGAGGAGGATGATGATTTACGACTTGGGAAGAACTGAAATAGGAAAGAAGAGGAGACTTGAAGAGACGATAGAGTATTGTGAGGGATTGGTCAATATGGAACCCCGTTTGAGGCATAGGCCCTGTTGGGGATGAACACGACTTACTGGGGACTGTCACTTCGAGGAGGTAGCACTACGAGAGAGTGGAAAGATATGAATACATGAGTGGTGTCGAACAGACAGTGAGAGAGGTCCACAGGTGGCTCTCTTACGGCACTCCCCAAGGGTTGGTTACCTCAGCTCGTGTTCTCCGACACAAGAGCGTACCTGTGGTACCTAGTGTTATTGTTGTTCTCTGTTCTTAGAAAGGATATAGACCGTTGGACTAGCAAAGGGATGAGGATGGTGACTGACGAGTTAGGAAGAAGTGAAACGGGAAAGAAGAGGAGAATTGAAGAGAAGAGAAAGTATTCTCAGCGATTTGTCAATATGGTGGCCTCTTCACAGCTGCACCAGCGTTAGCTGATATGCATAGATTGGTTCCAGCAAAGAGATGGCCGATTTCCTCCTCACTCTCGAGAGGTCGACATAAGCAGTACGGGCTGGAACCAAGGCGGAGTCCAGCCAGATGATCAGATGTTGAATGTTTTGGCCCTGAGCTTTGATGATGGTTTGGGCATACGCTGGGGTAATAAAAGGGTAACGTGTGACCGGTACGTCGTCCTCGATATGTGTCACCGGGTACACGAAAACCTGTTGTCTGTCAGGCAAACGGAGAATGATGGTGTTATTTTGAGATGATGTGATTGTGGCTTGTTGACCGTTCACCACACGGGCAGCCTTATCGCGGTTCTCTGTGAAGATCACACGCATGTTCCTGTGCGGGTAGATGGGCTGAGAGTCCGCTACACAGGCGCAGGGGATGTTGCTCAGCTGGCGTCCCTGAAAGAGTTGGCCAACGACGATGGTGTTTATGCGTTGTGCTCCTTTGCGGGAGACTGTCATGACCGTGCTGTTGGGATGGCTCTGGAAGGCTGTCCAGATTTGACGGTCTGTCAGCTGACCTTCAAGGCAAAGAACAATCCCGTCCTGCATTTTGTCCACCTGCTCCTGGGTTGGGCGTATGAAGCGGATGAGGTCCAGAAACGCGGCATATTCGGCATCGACGATTCTGAATTGCTGGTGTAAGCGATGGATGACTGCATTGTGTGAAGAGAAGGTGGCGTTGTCGTTGATTATGGAGGTGGTGGAGGTGATACGACCGTTGACGGTCTGCAGAGGTTGCTGTTGACACTTGTCACCTGCCAGGACCACAACGGGGCGAAGGTTCATCCGATTGAAGGTAGACGCCTTAACTCCAAAGATGGGTGAGGAGATCATGGACGCCTTGTCAACAACAATCATGTCATAGTGGTTAATCCCATGGTTGATCTCGTTGGGGAGAGGGCCGTCAATGGGTATGCTGAAAGCTCCATGAAGAGTGTCGGTGGTCACGTCCTCATAGAAAATGGAGTTGTAGCCTTGGGCCAGCAAGGCTACAGGAGCGGCGACTAGGACTGACAGTTCATGGCGAATGGCATAATCAATGGCACGGATGAGGACTTGCGATTTGCCTGTGCCAGGCTTCCCCAAAACAAGGCGGTATTTTTGCCAGGTGGAGTCAGAGGCGTCAGAATGGTTGTCCTGGGACAGAAGAGATTAGCGGCAGGAAAGAGCGGCGGTGATGTCTGCAAGTATGGCGGATTGATGAGGTGACAGCAGGTACAGCGATTGTAAAGAGAGAGAGGAGAGGTCCCCGACTTGATTGGTGACAACACGAATGCGCCAAAGGTGGAGTATGTCATGAAGTGACTGAACGTAAGACACAATTGTATTTATAAAGTAAGCTTTATGGCCTTCGTGTTCAAACTCAGCAGTGATGGTGTCGGTGGTGTCCCAATAGGGAGTTTAAGATACGGTCACTACGGACTACGGACTACGGTAATACACGGCAAGGACCTGGTTCGAGATTTACTGCGCATGCTCGATAGCACGTGGGTTTCGTAGTCCGTCGTGTGGTTGCACGCTACGGGGAGTAGTCGAGGAGATTCGCGTAGTGAGGACTACGTAACGCTACTAAACGCTACTTTTATGTTGAACAGTCTTTAGGCAATTAAACTTGAGCGAAAAAGAAGTAAAAATCGCATTTTTTTTCTGTTTCTGGTTCTGATTACTGACGCCCTTTGAATTCTGTTATGTTTACAAGCAGATTAGGATGTCAACAGGAGATGAAAGCAGGTAATTCACTTTCTTTTTCTACTTTTCAAAGGTGAACTGCGAACTTTGTTGGAAGTATGTACTTTTTCCAAATCAAAATAGATTGTAAAAGCTTTTACAGGGTTCGTACAGGTCATGGAAAACCTGGAAAGTCATGAAATTTAAGAATTCATTTTCCAGGCCTTGAAAGTCATGGAATTTAATTGTCGGTCATTGAAAGTCATGGAAAATTGAAGTTATGTTTGCTAGACTAGTTCGTGCACAGTCCAAAATAAGGACAAAAAGACGTAATTAAACGGCTTTTAGAAATGGCACATATGGTGGACACTAAAGTGTTATCTGTTGCACTGAGTAAGGTAAATACCCTAAATAAAAACAAGGATAGTTTTGAAAATTTTCTTAAGTGGCAGCTATAACCAAAGTCATGGAAGACTGGAAAAGGTCATGGAAAAAGTAATGGAAAGTCATGGAATTTGAAGGGCTCAAAAGAGTACGAACCCTGTTTTATATAAAACGGAAACTTCATTGTCAATCATGACACTGACTGGGTATTTTTTTGTCTCTTTAGTGTGTGCTCCAGTGGCGAGTCAGCCGTCTCTGTTCGAACAAAGTAAGCTCAAATGTCTGAAAATGGCATTTGTATAAATCGTTTTTCAAATGCTCATACATTAATTTATATACTGGTTTTGTGTCCTAAAATTGATATGCAGAAGGAGAGTTGAAGCTTGGGAAGGGAAGTTAATGGAGAACTATGGTGAATCAAAATCTGATGCAATGACCAAATTGAGAGTCTTATTTTTACTTTGGATTTAAAATTAATGTTTTTTTTTAATTTAACCTTGTTTCCCAAATAAAATAATTTACTGACTGGAGACAGCAGCCTAAGGACAGCTTTTTATGGTGTTATTGATCAACAGGTGATAAAACGTGATTGGCAGGATGCAATTTTGTATTAAGAAAATACTTTTCATGCTACGTATTAATTTTATAAAATGTGTTCTTTTTTAGTGGGTCATTTCGTTGGAATGAAGCAAAAAATACTCTGCTCCTTCGGGAATTATACTCCTCGGAGCCATTTCTGTACAAAGTGGGCAGCAAAGAAGCTGGCCAAACATGGACAGAAGTAGCCGAAAAACTAAACTGCTTCAGTCTTTTTAGAGACATGCTGTTAAAAGACTACAAGAACAAGAAAAACAAAGAAGAAAAAGCAAGTGGGATCAACCCTGATCCACCAACAGAAAACGAAACATTGCTTGAGGAAATAGTTGCGGCCATGGAGTCAACAACACTTCGTGTAGGAAATGCAAACAGCAAAAAAGATGACCAGAAGAGGAAGGATGCACTTGCATGTAGAGATAAAGCCATGACCACGTGGGCAAAGGCTGGAGCAAGTGGTGAAGCCTCTGATTCTGGGGACGAAAGTGCCACAGAGAAGAAGACTGTAAAGAGAAGAGGAAGAAAAAGAAGAGCTAGTTCTGATCCTTTTCAGTATTTAGCAGAGAAAACAGCCAAGGAAACAGACCTCAGAAAAGAAGAGCTGGAACTTCAAAGACAGCAGCTGCAACTTCAGGCTGAGCAGCAAAAAGAACAATTCAAAGTGCAACAAGAGCAGATGAAGCAAATGATGCAAAGTCAAATGAACACACAAAACCTTGTTCTTGCTCTAGTACAGAAACTTACAAAGTGATAACATTTAAGAGTTTTGTTGTTTGAGAGCTTGGCTGTTTTGCCATCCCATGCATTCAATTTAAAGGGGCATTTTGCATTTTTTGGAGACTCTAATACGTTGTTGTTTGTTTCACAGAACCTTTAACAAACTGTTGCATTTTTCTATTAGTTATCAGAAAATTCCCCAAAAATACATAAGCATGCGTGGTGAACTTTGTTTGGTGAATTATTGTGAGTAGAAACAAGAAAAAGGATAACTTGTTTATTGTTCATGTTTTCCATAATACAGGAATTCAATATTTTTTACCAAAATGGTCATGAAATTTTTATTTCTTTGACGGTTTGGATCCATTATCTTTTTCATACAGGAATTAAGTTAACAGTGAATAGTCACTGTATTAGTTCATAGTAAAGTTGTTGCACATACCGTAGATGATTACCATGGCAACTGCATACTTAACTCCAAGGTTTAACAACTTCATTCCATTACAAAAACATAAACTTAGTGTCAATCAGAGTTTTCTGTGCCCTCCCTTCCCGGTTCAGACCCTTTCCTTGACCCAACACCCGGCAAACAAAGACAACTCTGACCAATGTTTTAAAATCTGATTAGTACTTCACAAGAACTTCATGGGTTATACGAAAAGGCCGCTTTGTCCTGGATTTAAGTGAACATTTGTTTTATTCTTTTTTTAAGCCTTGCTGCTTTCTCTTTTTAAATTTCATTTTCACGGACTGAAGACTCACCAGACACTAGCAGTAATCTTGAATGAAAAAATAAAACCTGAAATCCTGGATTAGCTGCTAGAACAACCTAATATATTTTGTAACTTTGCATCGCGCTCAGACATCTCTACTTGATATACTGTGATGCCATTAGGCCAAATAGTCTTGAACAGTTGGTGGATCAAGTTGAAAATGTGTTGATGTTGTGTTAACATAAAGGCAGGTGAGAATATTTCTAAACAGTGCGGACACTATATACTGCTTTCCAACTGCGCTTAATCCTAACTTTAAGTTTTTCTTGAAATCTAAGAACTTGAACGAGTTGGAGATATCGCCAAAAAGCCATTCCACCGAAGCTCTAGCAGAACTCATTGCTGAATTAAATGCTTCCATATCGGCTGTAAATACTGGGACCTCCCCTATTCGGTAAGGGGCCATTAAATGAAGACGAAGAGGGTAAGCTGGGTCTCCATAGAGACATAGGACGTCCCCCATTGGATTGTAAGCTTCTCTTTCCAGCGTTTGCAGCAGGCCAGAGTCTTTAAGCATCCCTGCATCGTGGCGTGCACCCTCCACCGGACCATAAAGATTTGCTATCAAACCATTTGGCACTACTACGGATTGGAATTTTAGCGCATGAACACGCTTGTGCCCGTTGTATACAACGCGCTGTTTTTCTCCAGGGCGACATATTGGGCGAACCGTGCCGTCAATGAAACCAAAACAATTGGTAAGTGGACTTCGTTGTCTTGCTATAGCACAGGCGTATTCTTGAAGGCAAGCAGGGGTAAGAAATGGCTGATTCCAAGAGGTTAAACGAAACCCATGTTCATTAAAAACCCAATCAAGTACAGTGTTAGCGATCATGCACAGCTCTGGCACCGGACGTCCAAAAGTTGAAATTAAATCGAAATAGCGGCATGGGTATGCTAGTCGTTTTAGCAGTAAACAAAGTCCTTCTAAGCCACTGCAAACTGTTCCCTGTGGGCACTTGAAACTCGCCGGAATCCGCAATGCGTTCAATAACATCGGAATATCATCCTTGGCCACCCTGAAGTGAGCTTCACACTCGCAAGAGTCGAACACATCCAAACAGAATGGTTCAAAATTCCATTAGGGAAATGAAGGATTAACGGGTTGGTAATAATCGTAAAGAACAATAAACTCTTCATCATCCAGAAAACGATCCGCATAAGCGATTAAAAGGGCGTTTCTAGCATCTTCGAAAGACATTTTTTTTTCCAAGTGCAGCCGTAGTCCGTAGTCGTTGTCACGATCTTAACGTCAAACAACACTCCAATTTTCGCGCCCTTTTAGCGTAGTCGGCCCAGTCCACGCGTGGCTTGGATTCTCACGCCCAGACGTAGTCCGTAGTCCGTAGTGACCGTATCTTAAACTCCCTAATATTGAGGGGTTAAGGCAACGGACTGAGCAAAATGCTTGATGGTATCAGGCATGGTGTCTTCCTCAGCATGTCTCAATGCGTTGACTTCGCGATGCGGCCAATTCATCGTCAAATGCTGATAGAAGAATATTGGGTTGAATATGGACACGTACTTCACGCCCACTAGGACCCGGTCGTCTGCGTATGGTTTGGGCTTGGACCCAGATGTCTGGTGGCACCTTAACCACTGTAACGGAGTCTGGTCGTCTTCAGTTTGGGGACGCTCCAGGTACATTTTGTACACCTTGTCCCCCTCTGTCTGATCCGGAAATGGTGGCCTGTGTGCTGGAATTGGAGGGTGTGTCGTCCATTACGCTCTGTGATGAAAGAGTCTGGATAGTCACGTACAGGTAGGCACGACTTGTCCGATTTCTGGATTGATGCTACGGTAAAGGCGTCTTCGGCATTGCCCCAGGGCAGTGAAGCATGAAGAAGATCTGCTCTGGTTGCTGAGATGTCCTTGACCCAGACCAGCATGTGAAGATGGAGAGTGCCGCGTTTCTGGAACTCAAAACGGTAAAAAAGGTCTCCAAGTTCTTGGAAGTTGGGTCGCGAAGGTTGGTGAAGACATTTGTTCTCCATCTATTGCAATTCCCTCCAGTCAAGTAACCCCGGGCGATTTGTTCCAGAACGTGGGCGATATGAATGGTTTCAAGGGTCGGGATATCAGTGACGTCCTTAAAGTGCTACTACGATCAAATTTGGGAATTTGTTTTTGACTACATATTTCGAAAATGTATGTAAAAGTGACTTACCGTGCCAAGTTTGGAGTCCAAATATGATCTGGAAGTGTGTTTATTTGCACGGCAATTTTCGTAAATGTCTTGCCGCCATTACTCGATTCAAAAAATGACCGGGAGTAGTATTTGAAGGAGTTGGGGCGAGATGTGACGTAGAAACATCAACGCGACAAAACAAGGCAAACAAACGTGGCTAATTTCGCATGCAGGACGAGATATTTTTGGAAACTTTTGGAGGTTCTTTCTTCGCTTTTTTGACTTAAAGCGAAAGTATGCCTGGTAGAAGTTGTGTTTTCAAGACTGTGGAAACGTAAAGAACGATGAATTGGGGATTTCTATTCATAATTCTCCTGATTCGAGCAGCGTTAGATTAAAGTGGAAAAGGTTCGTGTCCATTCATCGGAAGGATTTCAACACAGTGGGAAAATTTGCTGTGTGCTCGGAGCATTTTACAAGGGATTGTTTTACGCTTGCTTTTCCGATGAAAGGCATGAAAAGGAATTTGAAGAAGGGGATGTTTCCAACCATTTGGAAAAAATCCTCTCAAACACTATCAAAGCGGAGTCGACGATCGGTGAGTGAAATTACAATGTATTTGCGCTGTACTTATCACCATTATATTTATTTCCCCATTTACCTGTGACATGATTTTTTTGGCATCGTTGTTCAATATTCGTGTAATGAATGCTCTTACTATTTGGACTTCCCATATTGTTGCATGTGTTTTCATACTTTTCTGCTTTCTTCTCATAGTTATAGTAAAACGGGCATTTGCGCTGAGTGGACGTGAAGTCAATTCCCCAATTCCCAGACCTTTCCACTCAAGGGTAAAATTTAGAAAAAGTGAAGCTACAGAGAAATCCGGCTCTCTATTTTTTGAGAGATTATCTTGCTTATCTTTGAGATTTGACAGTACTCCAAACTTCCCTCCAAGAAATCTTACAGCAAATTAAGAGTTACACGCGAGTCTTTTAAAACGACCAAAAATGGACTTAGTCTGATTTCTACATTCTATAAGTTCAGTTACTGTTTGCGGTTTTTTTTTTCGTTTGTATTTTAATTCTATTTTCACTGTCTGCAAATGATGCATACATTTTAAGGCAAAGATGTGGTTAAACCTTGCTTCCATTTCTAGTTTTGAAAACATCGACATAAAGCTCAAATTTAAACTTGTTTTGAAGGGGAGATATAAAAACTGGTCGTACCTATTTTCAGTTTTAGCTACTAAATGAAATTCTGGCTGGTCAAACTACTAATGAGGATACAGAGGAAGAAGACAATCCTGAAGAAGAGGTGATCTCTTTGATTCCTGAACTTGAACAGGTTTCTATGGTAGGCGCATAACTCTTAATTAATGTTTATTTGCATCTTTGTATTATCATAACAATGGAAAACTACATGTGCAGTTATTTTAGAACAATACTAAAACACAAAAATTCTAAACTCTTGTCATTACAGCCTGTATTAATGTTGAAAGTTTGTTTTTGGTAGGATACTCCAACTGGACATGCTGGGAATTGCACAACATGCAAAACCCTGAGGAGTGAGGTGACTCAGTTAAGGGGCAAAGTCACAAGACTGAAGGGTAAGTTAATCTCCAATCAAGATCAGTGGGTTGAAACCTTTAAGAGCATACAAGAGCCGAAGCAGTTGCTGATGGTGAATGCTGGTGAGTCAACAGTAATTGATGTTGATGAGTCATATAGGCATAACTGCCTATCTTTATATTTTTATTATATTTTATCAATATTTGATTATTTAATAATAATTAAAATTGTAATGGTGATAGAATTTTTTTAATTCCATTTGTTTAAGCTAGTCAAACTGATCCATGGCCAGTAACAAACGAGACAGAGTTAGGGCTAGAGGATGAATCAGAAGATGAGCAGGAAATGCAGGACGACGCATATGAGGAGTTTGAGTGTGATGAAGACCCTACATGGAGTCCTGAAGAAATCGAAGATGCATATAAAAAACTAAAGGAAGATGATGACTCGGTGAAGACTCATCAGAACCCAAGGTACAAAGATGCAAAATTTATTGCATTTTAACATCTTAGCTCTAAGTATCCTCTGGGAAGTGATTTAGGCCTAAAACTAACTTCCTTTATGAGAGGATCTATTAAAAAAAAAGAGGCATAGCCAGCCCATAGACTGGAAGTCCCAGGCCTAAAATGTTTGGTTTGTCCACTCAACCACTTGTAATGAATTATGCATCGTTGGGGTGGGCTAGATAGCTTAAGGGCTCAAAGTTGTCATGTGTGCAATCAACAGAATTATTATGAAAAAGCTTTTTTCAGGATGTATGTGAGAATAAAATCCCAACCCACAATTAGCCAGGTTTACAACAAATTGAAAAACTGGCAACACCCTGAGAAAAACAATGAAAATGATAATCATTTTTTTTATTGTTATTTTATTATTTCAGATGCTATGATTAAATGAGTATTTCCTTTCAATCATTTTTTACAGGTTGGATCTACAAGAAAAAACATTCGAGAGGAACCGAAGGGAATTGTTTTCCTTTCCAAACTTCTTTTGTTTCAGTTCTGCCACTTGTGCTTCTTTTCAAAACCCAAACTTTCTGTATCACAGACAGGTACCTTGTTAACCGTAGAAAGTTTCTGCAGAAACTGTAGCCATACAAAAGTCTGGAAGAGTCAACCAGACCTGCTAGGAAAGTTTCCAGCAGGTAACCTGCTATTAAGTTTTGCAGTGCTCTGTGAGCCGAGTGAAAAGAAAGAAACGATACACTAAAACGGTAATTTAATTCAGGCTGAATTCGATTTAATTTTTATTACTTGTGTACATGAAAATTGGAGCAACATCAGAATTCCCAGCCACTAAACTTGAGTTTAACTGAATGCTAGAAGAACAGGGCATCACACAGTGGGCAAGTTTGTCATTCAACAAAAAGCGAGTAAGTGGCTGAGAATTCTGAAGTTTGGCCCATAAAATTAAGTGCTTACGGACACGTATTCAAGCAACTAATGTAGGTCCTTCTTGGCCCCAATGGCATACATGACACTCTTCAAGAACAAACAGTGCATTCATTATTCATTTTCTTCATCTTCGAATCCACGATAATGGCCATTTTGACTTGGAAATTGTTTCCTGATTTTATTGTAGGCACAACAGGGCAAGGGGTATCGCCTGGAACCACCAATATAACTCCACAGCAGTCTTGTAAATTGGCGATAGGTCACAGACCTCAGGAATCTAGTTATAGAAATGAGATCACTGTTAATTCAAGGAGGGATTGGATGGAGATAAATAAATACTCCTTTTAAAAATAAGCAGTTGGGGCAATAAAGCCATTTAGAAAATAAAAAATGTGATTCTATGAGATCAGTCCACGGCGATAAGGTTAGATGTATCAATTATTCAATGCTATGTAAGGTTCGATCGTTCCGATACAAAGTCAACAATACCCCAACTTACTCATTATCACTTTTGTTGCTTTGCCCACGAACAGTTGTGTACGACTTTCCAGCTCGCGTTTTTAGGCCCAGTGCAGCCACTTCTAATACGTGGCGGTTTAAGCGGACGCTTTCAAACCCTGGATGGAGGGTTATGCATACGGTCCGGTCTCCAATGGCTTCTTCCATGACCTCTTCGCAGCGATCGATCTCTTTGCAGCAAATGCACTCCTGCGCTTTTGTAACAAGGCTGACAGAGCAGTTCGAGCACGAACACCTGCAAAATAATGTAAAAAATTCGTCAAACACAAGAAAAATACGTCTGTATAAAATTATTAATTGTCTGACCTCTTCAATAAAACTATCGCATAAAGTCAGGACTACAGCTAATCACATAGCAACGAAATTGTAAACTTAAACAAAACACACAGTCGCTTTCGTCACGCGCACGATTTAACGACGTCAACGACGGGTATGTTGAAATTGGAAAATAAAAATATAAATCTACATTCCATGATAATACCATACCATTCATTCGCTGGCACCTCTCCCGAATATCTTCGTTGAAACTGTTGTTCCTCTTCTTCTTCGCGATGAACTCTTTCGTTGTAGTCCGCGGCTTCTTCCTCGGTAGCAAGGGGTTCGCAACTGTCGTCGTACGGCGCAAATTCAGACAATTCCCCCATCTCTTCGTCAACTGTAAAACTTTTAGATCACTTTCAGATGTGCAGGAAGAGGAATCCGACGGAGATGACATCTTAAACGTCTTGTTGAAAGGCTCTAAACTCACAAACTTTTCCCAAATGCGAATCTTTTGGTTGATGTTTCTACGTCACAGTGCATAAATCACGTGGTCAAACGCACGACCGCTTTGCGGAGATCTCGCGGGCCATTGCTTTGCGAACTTTGTAATGGCGGACGGTATTTACGCACTTTTCAGAGGGAAATTTCCAGCCCCCGTACGCAAGTATCGTTCCAATTTTTCGCTATTTGTATAATTTTGAACATATACAAAAGATTTATGTTAAAAAAACTCGGAAACAAAAACAAAAATTTTCGTCGTAGTAGCACTTTAAAATAGCGGGATCTCATTTCCTCCAAGAAAGGCGGAAAAGGAAATGTCCATTCATACGGAGTGATAATGATAAAGAAGGAAGGGTAACCATGTTGGCGGACTGCATCTATCAGATAAAGGTTCTGGTGCTGCCAGAAGGTCTTCGAAAATGACTTAGTTTCTAAGCTTCGATTGGGCGAGCATCCGGACGCCTTGGAGGCATTGACTGCACCAGTGATGGTCTTGAATAACCACCGATCGTACTGGTACTGTAGAATCTCAAAATTTAGGGCGAAGTCGTGCACTGGTGACAACAGCTTGTGCATGAACGCTATCTTGCCACTGGCGCGATTGTCCTGTCCTTCTAGTAGACTCTCACATAGCGAAGTCTTGTGGTACAGGGCAGGCCATAGAGCGCACTCTACACCGCGGTAAAGTGGCGAAGAAAAGATTTTGTATAAGAATGGTGGGCGTTCGCCTCGGAAATGCATTAGTTTGAAACGCGAGTAACAGCTGTCTCCCTTCATGATCAATAGGTCATAAACTTGCTGCAGGAATGCTCGTCTTGACGGATCGTCCACGCGACAGATCTTCTGTTGTACCAATTCTCGGCACCAGGATATGCGGAATGGTCCGGTCCTCTGACGATACCCATAGAACATTCACACATAGTCCCCACAGTGGATGGCAAATGGACTGAGCACTCGTTGGTCTTCTATGGTCACGTTCCGCAACTGGAGAGGGACATCATCTACGTCAGGGACGACATAGGTGCCGTTGCTGCACTTGCAGGTATTGTGCAGTGGGGTGGGAGCCCTTCTGCGGAATGCCGGGAGCAGCTTTCGAGGTTCTAATTTGGCACACTTCTCAGAAAAGGTCCAGCTTTGGAAGCGGGCCCAAAATTCCAGGTCTGTGGCGTCTTCTGTGTGGATGAGTGGGTCTGCATCCGCGTTCTGAAGACGATTGATGGACATAAATGACTCCCTGGAGTCTTCCTGTTTCTAGTGACGCTCTTCCTGACACTGGGCGAGCTGATTTTGTCTTCGTTCGGAGACTGGATACTGGATGATCGAGGCAGAGTGACGTCTTTCCCAAAAAGACTGCGCATTTTGGGGTGACCAACCCGACGCCATGAGGTGACTAGCAAGGAAGGGAGTGGCGTCTCAGTGTTTCGGATAGTGATGGTAGGTGACGTGCAGTATATTGAATATGAATGACGCGTAACCATGCAAGACAAGAATCGTTGAAAGTCATCAACACTTGTAACTTTGGTGTGTGCCTTTTGTAAGTGCAAAAGTGTAAGAGACGATCGATGACTTTCAACAATACTTCAACTGCTAATCTTGCAAGGTCACGACGACTTAAGTAAATAAGAAGCTCTTAACGCGCCGCCCTACAGCGTTCTGTTGCAAGTGCGTTCACGATTGGCCATGACTTTACAGGGCCCTACTTTGAGCGTAGCGGAGCAAGAACTGTTGTCATAGAAGAGTACATGATCATGACATAATAGCAAACATCAAGACATGACAAACAAAACCCTCGACGGCGCCCATACATGTGATATACCAACAGTCAATTATAGCACATGTATAGGCCCGGAAGGTAAATGAAAAAAGACCTACATCGAACCCTCAACGGTGTACGCAGCCCTTATCAGGGCGCAGCAATAACAATAATGACTGCGTACCCGGAAGGTAGCCCAGGGACCGTACTAGCCTGTCTTAGAATTCAGCAGTGATGACTCTAAGACATCGTTCCTTCGTTTGGGCGCCTTAAAACTGACAAAACAATAAGAAAATAACTCACCGACTTGAAATGTAAGATGTGGAGATGGTAACAAACAACTGCAAGGAAATGGAAGAGACGTTAGTGAAATGGCAATGTTGAATATAAAATAGCGTTGATCTGCAGAAGTTGTTCAATAGCATGCAAGACACTAACATAGCTTAACTGCTCGGGCAGAAGTAAACGTAGGTACACAAAGCAAGACAGGAATGAACATGATTTACCTTTAAAATGAAATACACGAACCACACCAAAATACAAGAGTACTGCAATTACTAAAGCCAAAACCTGTGAAAAAGAACGAAAGGCGTTACTATGTCGGTTATGGGAGCACAAAACAAACGCACAACCACAATGGGCCCTTTTTTGACAAAAGGCGGGAAAAAAGCCCGCGGAAAAACGTTAGTCGTTCTTAGAGAACGGTGAAAACAATTGACTGCAAAAAAGCCAAACTACAATGCGAGCTTTTTGAAAATGGTTAGTCGTTCCAATACAACGGTAAAAACAAGCGACTGGCCAAAACACAGACTACAATGGGACGTTTTGGAAAAAGGGCGGGAAAAAAGCCCGCCGAAAAACGTTGGTCGTTCACAGAGAACGGTAAAAACAAGTCAGTGGCCAAAACGGACGATAGACAAACGACATGTACTTACGATTGAACGGAAACAACAAACGATAGTCACTGGATGTTCCGTTACGTGAAGGAAACGGAGAATCTGCCAATGAAGAACAAAAACCGTTAGTGTTTTAAAAAAAAGGCGGGAAAATGCGAGTTAAAGTTAACGACAATTGAAAAGCAATCTCCTTGAAATCAGGAAAGAACAGAACGTTACCTGGAAAGTAGAACTGCAACGAAGGCAGAAAAACGGGACTGGATATCCTTGTCAAAACGAAGACGAACAAAGTTGTTCTGAAAAGAACAGTTGAACCAAAAACGGACGATCTTGTTCCAAGAAGAACAGTTGTAACACTCGCTGAAGAATTTGTTCTGAGAAGAACAGTTTAACGAACAACACGCTAAAGAGTTTGTTCTGAAAAGAACAGTTGACGAACAGCAGAAGACTTCTCACGGAAAAAAACGCTACCCAAACGGACAGGGCTTCGCCGGCAGAAGAAGATTTGCAGTGCCGAACCTGGAAAAAACGGGGTTTATATAGACCCGTCTCATTAATATGCGGATCGAAACGCACCAATGAAAAACGAGGTCAAAAAGCACCCTTTTTCTTCCCCTTTTAGGCGGATTGTGTTTCTTTTCTGGAAATAAACTGCGCTGGAGTCCACAAGGTTGGTCCTTTTCAGGAAAAAAAGGTATCAACATGTTGCCCTCGATGTCTTCTTCCTGACTATATACTTTGTTGGTCAATATGTGTAAACAACAACAAGTTATTGACAGTAAACAAACCAAAAACAACAGTCAGATCGAAATTTACAAAGATTTGTATGGGAAACGTTTCCTTGTATAACTCGAACAGTTTTCAATATGGAGTCGTGAAACTTTGTGGTTGACATGTTGACAATGTGGGCAACATGGTGAAAGCTCGTTTTTTGCGTTTGCGCATGCCTGAAGTAATTGCCTTTTAAGGGTGCAGGATCACTAAGGTGACTGTTGCTAAGGTCGATGCAAAGACTGAAATGGTGGCTGGACATGGGAAATGGCGTAGTAAGTTCTAGTAACCGTCACCCACTGCATTAGCGAGGTTAAGATCGGGTACCAATACCGATACCAGTACCAATATCTTCCACAGCCGTAGTCGTTTCCGTCGTGCGTAAATGAAGTTGTAAGTTGTTGAAGACGGATACCGGTAAAACATGGCGTTCGCGGACATCTCGTTAGAAGAAGCTCTAGTCCTTGAAGCTTATGAAGAAGACATTTTAGATGCAGAAGAAACTCTGCTGGCGTTTGAATTGCTGGATAAATCAAAAGAACCATAATCGTGTACAAGACAAGATTTTTAACACCTCGTGTTTTGAACGTCAATTCTGGCAAGCACGTTTATTAACATATCACACATACAATGCGTATTTGTTTAAATCAAATCTAATCCATAATGCGATTTTTATTCAACTTACCATGTGCTGTCTCTCTCAAAACTTGTTTCGCTTGACATTTCTGAACACAAAAATCAAACAGAACTTGAACCAACAAACGATCTACATTGTCGTGGTAAAATGAACTCGCTCTTATCGATTCAGAAGCGTTATATCGATTAAAATGTTTGAAGAATAAATGCATGCTGTGTTTTTAAACAAAACGGCATTCCATCTAACCTTTAGCAAGACGACCTGAAGTCGGGGATGAAGACTTCCAATATGGAGGCGACTTCCGTAGTCTTGACTACCGATACAGATGTCACAGGCTGACGACGCATGCGTGTAACCTACTTCAGGTATTGGTATCGGTATTGGTACCCGATCTTAACCTCTCTATTGCCGCGTCAATGACGTGGAATAACAGATTAACTACTACGCATGCGCAACAAAGAACGTGCGAATGTCTTGGAAACGATTCACGGAAGGTTGCTGAGGTTTGGCAACAAGTATCAGCATAGTAGGCACTCCCCGTTTCTGCAATTTGAAGTCCATTGAGTGAAATCCGGGGGTACAGGCAATGATACAAGTCGATTTAAGGGGGCTCTCCACCAAGGTAAAGGTTGCTAACACTCGCAAATAGCACCAGTTAGCGCCGAATGGGTGTCTGTGCTGTGGATATCATAGGAACATAAAGTAGAACATGGCAGAAGTGCAGTGAACGCAGGAAAACGCTTAAACAAGGAATTGGCCATTACGCATGCGCAATGACAAAACTGACTGTAACTTGGAACCGTTTCAAGCAAGCTTTTCGAAAATTGGCAAGAAGAATGAACATGACACAACGTCCCTGTTTCTGCAATTTCAACTCCCTGGAGTGAAATCCGCGGGTACAGGCAATGATAGAAGTCAATTTAAGGGGGCTCTCACCCATCGTGAACGTTGCTAACAACCCCAAAGAGCCCCAGTTAATCCCGAATGCGTCTCTGTGGTGTCGATGTTGTACAAACAGAAACAGGAACATGGGAGAAGTGCAGTGAACGCAAGAAAACGGGTAAACAAGGATTTGGCCATTACGCATGCGCAATGACTAAACTGCCTGTAACTTGAAACCGTTTGAAGCAAGCTTTTCCAAATTTGGCAACAAGTATCAGCATGACACTCACTCCCTATTTCTGCAATTTGAAGTCGGCGGAGTGAAACCCGGGGGTACACGGAATGATACAAGTCATTTTCAGGGGGCTGTCACCCATTGTGAACGTTGCTAAGACCGAGATATAGGTCCACTTAGGTCCCACAACATCCCTCTTGTGGTAATATCGTGTTAGGAGGAATACTAAGATGCGACAACTGCAGGGGCACCTCAACGGACCTAAAACAACGGATTCCGCATTGCGCATGCGCAACTAGGGCGAAAGACACTTTCGACCCTAGCTCCGCCCGATTTTAACGGTTTGAAGCCAAATTTGGTATGTGACCACTTGAGACCAAAACCTAGCTGGAGTACGAAGTCTGCAGACCGGGGGGGGGGGAATTGCTCGCGTGACATCCCGTTTTTAGACAAGAAATCACGTGACTTTCATGCTCTCACCATTCGCGTTCGCACACTTGTAGACCGTCCACCAACAAGTACTGTACCAAGTTTGACGGTTATCACATAAAAGAGAACAAAGAAATTTCGGAGTCAATGGTCTCACATTGGACACACGTACAAGTGATATAAAGTGTTACGGGACCAACCTCGTTCCCAGGGCTTTTCCCATTGAAATTGGGAGGGGCGGGAAAAGACCCTGGCATCGGCTGGTCACGTGATTCCAAACACCCGAAAATTCTGGGTGTAATAAATTACGATGTGATGAACGTGTGAAATAATTTTCAAGCAAGATGGCGGAATCGCGAGATAACTTATCGGTAATCAGTCGCCTTGGATTAGCTCTAAACCGATGCAACTTTCCTTCTTTTTGCATAAAGCCACTTCAGGTGAAGTGCTTCGAGTATTTACTGAATGGAAACGATGTTATTGCCGTTCTGCCTAGTGCTTTCGGCAAATCGCTCCTGTTTCAGCTTTTACCAAATTTCTTGACTGTAAAGGCAGACAAGAATGTTGTCATCGTTGTTTGTCCTCTGAACTCTATTATGGAGGACCAACTTAAAGTGTTAGAAGAGAGAGGAGTCACTGCCGATGTTCTGCAGCTGGCCAGTGATGATCGGGAGGGTATCGAGAGTCTGTTCAATCCAGAAGACAACGACGAAAGCGTGGACGTGTCAAAGCTAAAAAGTCCCTCCAAGAATCTCCTCAGGGGAGATGTACAGATAGTATTTGCCCATCCAGAGTCCCTTTTAAGCAAAGAAGGACGAGAGCTGATGAAAGGCAAAGTCTTCCAAAGAAATGTGGCTGCATGTGTAGTCGATGAAGCTCACTGTGTTGAAATTTGGTGAGGCTTACCAACTTCAGTGATAATTTTTAAGTGATAATTCTCATAACTTATCTGACAGTAATTCAGTATTTAAAATTGGACGTTTTTGTAAGTACATGTAGTCACCTTTAAGCAATTTTAAAATACCTGGCATGTTATTAAAATATGTCTCAAAGCCTAACAAAAGGATCCATTCCCATTCAGTGGTATGGAAATTAGTGACTGGGTAATCTACAATGTAGCTAAAATCAAAAATATCACTTTACTTGCTGTACACTGGAACCTGGATGTCCTTGTAATACATGTAAGCTTTCATGCAAGTGTTTGAGAATGCAATAATAACCTTTGCTAACCCTATCTGACAACTAGCATTTGTAATAACATAGCCTGCCTGGGTATTTTTTTTGTAGTTCCAGGCTATTGAGTGGACACCAGTTTTGTTGTCCCCTGACAATATAGATGGCACTGCAACTTTTCTCACGTCATCTATATTGTTTTGTTTATTTTAGGGGTGAAGAATTTAGAACAGATTTTAAGGAGCTGTCTGCTTTAAAGGCCCTTTTCGCCACTGTACCAATCATGGCCCTTACTGCAACTGCACCACCACATTTGCTCGCAAATTTAAAACAGAGTTTGTCATTGCAAAAAGGTTGTAAAGTTGTTGCTGCAAACCCAAACCGTTCAAACATTTATTATGACAAGAAGATGAGGATGAGTAACCACCACGGGTATGAAAGCTATGACCGGATTGTCATCCCAATTGCAAAAGAATTGGCTCTGCAGAGGGAAAAGTATCCCATGACCATCATTTACTTGAAACTCGAGTACTGTGGTTATGTGTATGGCTTGTTTGAACAAATCTTACAAGATAAACAATTTGTGGGCGGCACAAAAGATCCAGCTGCGAGGTTGTTTGCTCAGTTCCATGCCCCTCGAACATAACGAATGAAAAAGAGCCTTATCGCAGAAGTAAAAAAGGAAAATTCAAGGGTAAGGGTGTTATTTGCAACATCAGCGCTTGGAATGGGAGTTAATATACCTCATGTGGAACATGTTGTACACATCACACCACCAAGCAACATTGAGTCTTACATGCAGGAGACTGGACGTGCTGGCAGGACAGGAGTCCCATCTAAAGCCACGCTTTATTACAATAACTCTGACATTGCCAAAAACAAGGAGCATGTTCAAGATCCAATGAAGGAATACTGCAAATCCCAAACTACTTGTCTTCGCAAACTCATTTTGGAGTATTTGGGGTTTCCAGGGGTTACTCAGCAGAGATGTTGCTGTGTTTGCGATGCAACATGTACTAATGTTGTGAACAAATTACCTAGTAGAGTTAAACGTAAAGTGAGAGCCATGCCAACTGAAAATAAAGCTGTACTTGAAGAACTTATTTTCAGTGTGCTGAATGAGTTTGAGGCTCATACAAGTGTGCCTGGTGAGAATTTTTTCATGCTCTTCAGTTTCTCCCATGAAAAGAATGTTCTTCCAAAGATCATGGAAGGAATTGA